GAGTTCCAAGTTGTCTCAACAATAGCTTATTGCAAAAAGATTGAGTCACTGAATGCTTGACAAAAAAAAATGTTATAGAATATTGTATAGCACAAAATATATATGGAGGGGTAAACTCAACTACGAAAAATTTGTTCCTCGTTTGTTGAAGGTGTACCACATAAGATAAACGACTTGGTCTGAACTTCCGTTGTACACCACACACCAAGTTAAAAGTTTTAGAGGGAGCATTTTTTAAACTGAAACTTCTTGTTAAAAAAATCCATGTTTCACAAATAATAAAGCAAATGAACACAAAACATAGAATACAGTGACGTTGGAGAAGGAGGATAGACCAGAGAAGATCAGAATTGACATTTGAAATTAGTGTCTCATAATGTTAGTGATGAGAGGAGACATTTACGATCAGTGGAATGTATTGGAACGGTTAAAACATATGAATTGAATCGTTTTTACGTTACGAGTATCTCGACTGAAAGACTGGAATACCTGCTCTGTTTCTGTATATATATTTCTTGTGGTATTGTAGCATAAAGTAGCTTGTTCACGAACTACTTCCTAGAACTGAACGCAACTTAATGAAACGAACTAGAAAGCACATCACTATTTCAAGTAATCCAAGAAAGGACAAATTGCCATTTCTTCACACTAGTGATGGGAGAATCGAAAGCCTGTGATTCGCTTTGCTTCTGTGGCTCAGAGATATAGTGTTTTGTTCTGATAAAACTGGTGCAGTTTTGTGTTTAAAATTCTCTACCTTAGTTAATACCTTTGATCCTGCAATTGCTCTCAAAACAACATTAAACAACTCTCATGTGGTGTCGCGTGCAGTAATCTGTCAAAGAATTATATTTTTCGTTTCTTTGTCGTTTTCCGTGTTACTATGATGAATCATCGAAAAAGAAAATAATAGTTAACCACACCAGCCCGAAATGCTTCAAGTTCTGTATATTTCTACAATGAGTGAAAAACTAGTTCAAAATGCGGACCAAAAAAGACATGAATATATAAATTGGTTCTGTTATAAGAATTTGGAATATGCACCAGTATTGGTAATATTTAACAGTTTAGACCACATAAGGCTGATTTCAGTAGCTTCTATTTTGACCTCTTTCTCAGTTATAATCTCATCTCACTCCAAGTTGCCTCACATGTCAGAGATTTTACACTTTCCCCCGCACCCCTGGAGCCTTGTGGTTCTCGATACTTGCTTCCGAAAGATTTTTGACTCGCTTGACTATTGGCTATGTTTATATATTTTCTGGAGACTTTCAAATATTACAAAGATTGTTCAGACCTTTGGATGTTCTAGAAATTCATCGATATCAATACATAAATAAGAAAACATTTTCATACAACACTTAAACCTGATTTCGACAGATGTTTCATGCCTGTCAGATGGAATACTTACTTGACTGTTCCTTAGTTACTTTTGGTACGTGAGAAAGATCACTTTCCCACTTGCAGTGTGCCGAGACATTCAGTTATTTTCGTGCACCGATCAGTATGACTAAAATGCCCCTTAACTATCCTAGTCGCGACTGAGTGACGTGTATCGGGACAAAACAACACTGTTGCCAGACTTAGCGATTTTTGTATGCTTTAGCGACTTTTTTCTCCACTTGTCCGCTGGCGAATTCCAGCAACATTTTTGGCTATATTGATAATTCCATTAAAGTTTGCCTTTTTACACTTAAAACCTTTTCAAGTGCCGAACGCAACTAGTGATTATTCTGCTCTATCTCCCCAGACAAAACACAATGGTACAAGTAGTACCGAAAGCAGCCGGGTCTGTATAACAGGCACATGGCGCGGCGACATCATGGAAGAGAACTCTGAGGAGCAAAGCCCGTTGGTGTAGCGGTAGAAGAGAACTTGATCGCCGAAGGCCGCTGGTGTGAAAGACTTCCGAGACATTTTGTTAGAGAAGAGTCATCGATCAGTTGGACAGTCCTTTTCTGGACAACATTGAGCATAGATAATATAGTCGTGACGGCGGCACCCCTAACGTGTGAGCAAGACTCGAGGCTAGGCCTTTTCTGGGCCTTGTATAGAGTGAGAAGGTCATGCGGAAGTACTTCGTAGCACCAAACAAATAGACTAGCTTTTTGCCAGCAGCTGCCGCTACTGACAAGATGTGTTCAAGCCAGAATAAGTCCTCGGTGATCTGGACTACGACCAGCCGAAATGAACGGGTCTTTGGCAGAACCCGGCCATCCATCGGAACCGTATGATGAGCGTTAGGACGCTTTTTGTTCGTCAGGGTACAGTACTGTGTTTTGGAAGCATTACACTGTACAAGATTGTTGCGTCCCCAAGCTGTGATAACCCCAGGTCTCTCGTCAGAGAGGAAGTCGTCGCTAATCTTCTTTTTTCGAGCTCAGCTGCAGAGATCTGCTTGTCACTCTGAATTCCTGCATGAGCGAAGCTGTGGATTGGGTTGATCGTGCAGGAGATGAGGTCGTTGATATGCAAGAGGAACCGTGTCGGAGCCAAGGCCGATCCCTTGGGAACACCCGCATTGACCTTGCGGGATGAAGAGGAGATCCCGTCAATTACGACGGATACCTTGCGGCCAGAGAGAAAGTCAGCCACCCATCTGAAAAGATTTTCTGGGAGGTCATGGGATGGAAGTTTGCATAAGAGGGCAGCGTGCCACAGCTGATTGAACGCTTTCGTGATATCAAGACCAACGACATAAGCCTCACCATAATTCTGGATTAGCTTACACCGCAATTGCATGCCGTATGCTGGGAGCTCCCCTGTGGATCGCTGGTATCGGAAACCATACTGCCTGTAGCTAGTCAAGCCGAGACGTTCTAGGCAATCCAGAAGGTCGCCATTTATGCACCTCTCATCACCTTACTTATAACAGAAAGCAGACCTGTGGGCCTGTAGTTGTAAGGGTCGGATTTAGATCTTTTTTTTAAATGGGTTGGACATCAGCAAATTTACAGTTTTCTGGATTCATACGATATCTGGAAGAGATGCGAAAGAACTGGAGCAAGCAACGCTGCAAACCTCTTTAGTACAATCAAGTCCGAACCAGAAGCTTCATTTGGAGGCGTCCATGGTGGAGTTGGCAGCAAAGATCTTGGCAAACACTTCAACCTTGGCCTTCAAGTCAGTTACAATCGTTCCATCCTAACACGCAAGTGGTGGAAGGCTACTGTGTGAGAAGTTCTTTTCAATCTGCTTGGCCAGCGTCCAGAAAGACCGACTGTCATTTAGCTGCGACATTACCTTGCCAAATCAGACATATCTTTCATCCTTTGCAAAGAAATCATCAGTTGCTGCCCTGATATTCATCCCGACCACTTCATCCCCACGGCTAGGCGCCCTGTATTTTAAATTTGTGTTGATAGGACAGCGGGTTATGCTATAAATCATATGTCAGTTCTTGTGCACTGATTGCAATGGCTAGATGATACCAACAACAATTTCATAAATAGGAGATCTTTTTTATTCCGGATCGAAAAAAGGTGGTTATAATCATGATTCCTAATAAATTTTAATGAAAAATCCGCTGTATGTAGGTATATAAGAACTTTCTTATATTTGATGATACAACACATCTGCCAAAGATGATCATAATCAGGATAGTAAACTATGACGAAGGTCCACTGTATGTAACAGACCATGATGGTGTTCACACTTTTTAAATATTCTTCAAGAAGTGTTATCAGTCTAGCTCTAACTATCACAAGTACTATGTTTGTGTTCCTACTTTAAATTCAAAACCAGCAAATGTAAAAGATTCATTTCGCACCATCCACCACGGGACGTGATCGTCGGTAGACTTGGCAACCCTGCGAGTGATAGATAGATATCTCCGCCAGTCAAAAAGGCTATCAAACAATAAACATTATTATTTTTTATGATTTTTGGGCATAAAAGACATTATTTGTGAGAAAATTTTCATAATGTTTTGCCTATGTCCATAGTAATTGCATGATGCATCACGGAGATGTAGTGATTGACACGTCTTACACATATTGTCTGTGTTTTAGGATAGAAAGGACAATGTTTTTATTGCTTTGAAGAAATGCATTAACCCATAAATTAATAAATGATTAGGTACTATTATGATGTAAAGGAAGATGAGGAATTGGTTGGAATGTATTTTAAATTCTATTTTCTTGCAAAAGCCAAATCCACACTATTCAACAGGTATGTAGCTATAATGATAACTTATAAACACTCAGTATACCGAACTTAACAAATTCGAGATTGCGATACATTAACAAACGTCCAAGCCTAGTCTTAAATTTAACAGCTAGACAATCGACCTGTTATTTGCCGCATTCCCATTGGCTTTGGAGATAACTGATTGTTAAACGTAAATTTATAACAGAATCCAAAATACATTAAAGTTGCCCTGTTTTCTCTGCACAAAAGCATTATGTTGTAATCAAAGAGTGGTCTTGTTTATAATACAGTCGAATCTTCACTATTTTATTCAATATCTCAATAGAAATCACTGAGATTTCACCAGGATTGTCAAATTAAGAGGCCGTTTGTCTCCACCTATAGGGTAACAGTCCGTCAAATACAGCGAATGGGCTTCAAGATGCAATCAACAAATTTTAGCAACCAATAGCTATGAAGTATTGAAAACAAAATATTGTCAAAGTATGAGATGACAGCTTGTAATTGAAACATCACCAGCTTATTGAAAATTAAGAAATTAACACGTTAAACGCAATGGCGGTCCCATGGGACCGCCTGACAGCAGGTCTATCACACCACGGCGGTCCATATGGACCGCTTTGTATTCGATGCATTTTCATCGCCACTCCAGCCAGCGGGCCATATATAAATCAGTTTTATCGTTAGACATGGACCGATATGGCTTGTGTGGATTATACCGATAGGCCAACTTTTTTATGTGATTTATTAAAACGGCATAATTCAATTTTTTCCATAAAAATAATTTATTTCAAAGATACTGAACTTATACAAAGTCTCTGCCAAATAAAACTACATAGAAATAAAGTAATTTATAAACGGATACAAAGCAGTATGTTATTTATGATTTGTTCCAAAACACTCGAGGCAAAAATGAGGATTCCCTTCGCAACTACCACTACTTTTGGCACTTTGTTTTTTTGTATTTCACCCCTTGTTTTTTTACTGTAAGATCCTTTACAATATTTTCTTATTTCATGTGATTTTCCCTCTTTCTTTTTCAGTACATGACGTTCTCGTCTTGTGTCGGACACAGACGGTTGACTAGTTTCATTTCTTTGAAACATGAGACTCTCTACGATACTCTCTTTGAATTCGGTAATGGAAACTGACCTATTATTTATGGCTTTATAAAGAAAATGGGCATTTACCAGAGCAGTTCCAAATATCAAATCTATTGCAATTTTCCTATACCACTTTACTGTTTTTCTAAGCGCACTATAATAACTAGCCATTTGATCTGATAAGTCAATTGAACTTTTTGCTTTGTTATATTCTAAGACTGCTATAGGTTTTTCTACATCTCCAGCCCGTTTATGCACCATTACAGTTTCATGTGTATGCTTGGTGGACAACAAGAGCACACCCCTCTTATCTTTCCACTTCATAATACATATACCCCGTTCGTTTTCTTTTGCAACAATCTCCCCAGTCTTAAGTTTCTTGTTAGTTACCTCCATAGGATTTCCTCTGCGTTTTTCTCTTAGAGTTCCTACTAAATGTGTTTTTTTGTCCAGCAATTTGTTGGCCAACTCCAAACTTGTATAATAATTGTCAGTGATGACAGTACGCCCAGAATCAAGAAGTTTCTGTGATAAATGCATAACTATGTTAGTTGGGACAGATATGCCGGCATCTTTATGTTTGCCACAATATAACTTCATCTTCCACGTGAAACCGGATCCGCAACAAAGCTTAAAAATTTTCACGCCATATTTATGCGTTTTCTGGGGAATATATTGCTTCATTATGAGTCTACCACGAAATGGTATCAAACTTTCGTCTATGCAGAATTCTTGGACAGGAGTGTAGGCCTCTTGGAATTTTTTCAACAATAAATTCATGAATGGTTCGATTTTGTACCCTCGATCTCCTTTAGGGCACATATCATTATCGGTGAAATGCCACATATTCAGAAGTAATTCAAACCGATTCCGACTCATAATTTGTCCAACAACACTGTTGTGGTATATCTTTTTCGTTTTAGTCCAATATCTATCCATGGTAGGAAGTTTGACTAAACCCATGTATCCTATGATGCCAATAAATTTTTTGATTTCCTCTTTATTGGTCGGTGTCCACGCATGGAGACGACTACCTTCGGAAGTATCGTCTATATTCAATAACTTCTGGGATGCATAAAGATTAGTTTGGTCGGTTATAATTTGGATAATTTCATCGTCAATAAAAAGCGAAAAAAAATCGATCGGGGATTGGTCACCTAATGCTGCTGCAATATCTGGATTTACCCCAGTATTTTTGGGATCGAAGGGAAATACCTCATGATTGCCTACTGGGTCTTTCCACGCAATGTTATATGCTTCCACTATTATGTCCTGATCATCATAGTTAGGATTGTCGGTTTCCATATTATGGATGACTTCATTTACTGGACTAGTCGTATAAGTATTTTCATCTTGAGTTTCATCCAATGATTGGAACTGCGGAGGTGTACTTGTTGGTTGGTTACAATCGGTATTATCAGATACTACGGAAGCAGGCAATGGTAGTAACAAGTGATGCTCAGATTCTTCAGACTCTGAATAATTGTCTTCGGCTTCCACTTCGTCTACCTGATATGTAGGATCTTCATCAGAAGAGCAATGAAATGGATCGTTCAGCGATTCAGAAGACGAACTGGAGTCTGAAAAATATTTGTTTGTCATTTTATAGGCAGTGAAATATTTTTCTTAGGCCTTACCGTCGCTATACTTCGAAGAAAAGTTTTTTGCAAGTTGAACTAAACGCTTCGCACGTTGACTCATTTTGGAATTGCACGTAAAATGTACTATCTGAATGCTATAACTATCAATCCTAACATCAATGTGTACTCTGCGGTGGTAAATAATAGACTGATTCGCGCGAACCGAACAGGAACCGACAAGTCAAATTGGACCGCTAATCGGACCGCCATGGTGTGCATGGCATATGCTTCCCGCCACGCCATGGCGGTCCCAGAGGACCGCTTAGAAAAACATCATGAAAACAGCTTAAGAAATTATGGAAAATATAAATCAAACGTATTTTTGCATTATGTTAGTCATCGGAAGCATAAGTTGCGCAAAATTGGACTTTGGCCTGGTGGACATGTTTCTAAAATATTGATTGGCGTTTAACGTGTTAAATATAATTCAGCCAAAATTTAAAGAAATGTTTGATTTTGTCTTTTCTACCATTATTGATTGTTTATTCATGTTTATATTATCTTCTTCAATTGCTATGCGATTTTACTAATTTAACATCACCTAACGTGTGTTTCTTTCCTATAAATCCCTTACAGATATCGATTAAGCACCTACTTGGGTATAAAGACTCTACCAAAAATTTCATAGATCTTGCTCGTTTCCCAACATTCATTCATTTGCTTACCGTCCATCAGTATTATTATGGCACCTTAGATTGGTATTTGCACAAATACATTAAAATATCAAATATCAAAAATATCCATACATCCATGAAGTTAAATATTTTTCGTCACTCAGGAAGTGAAAATACATCCACACTATATTTACAGCGATTAAGGAATACGCAAATATATCTCGTACAGCTACTAGCAAACCTAAAACCTACAAAGAATTTGCAATAAATTCTTTTTTTGTCGGGGAGTGAGTGTACATTCTAGGCAATATTAGACATGATTTGAATAACAGCTGGTCTCAGTGAGGCAAACTTTGTCACCTGTTGAAATATACTCTACTCTGCTTTATAAGACTTACGTGCAATTTCTCCGAAAATCATTGCACAACACTTAAAAGAATGCAAATAAAAATTTAAAACTATTTCCGTGACGCCACGATATATAGAAGTATCGATATTCTTATAACATATACGACGCTTGTGTGTATCGATCCGGACTGTCTCAGAAAGATTGACTAACTTCAGATTAATTTTCTTCTTTGTTTCCTATCGCTGGTGCTACTCGTACCATGACCTCACATAATTTATTTTAGATCCCAGGGCTTCCACATTAGGAGTTTATTAGGGAATTTTTATTTCAATGGGGAAGATTTTGGGGATACTTTTTTCTGGGGATTTCTTTTAAGGAAACATATTTTACTGGGGAGGTATAATGTAAAATTTCATTAATAACATTACGTAATGTACTTGTTATGTCCTGAATTTAGGGGATTTTTACATTTCGACTGGGAAAACTGAGCTAAACGTCCTAGCAACCCGGTTGGTTTCTTTTTCGAGGAATTACACACACATGACGCACAGTGTTTTTTAGTATTGATTGATTGATCATTATAGTTTAAAACAAAACATCATTGTTATAGTGAAGCCTCCTTTAAGAAGTGATTTGTGTAACAAGTATGTAAAACCGAGTTTAGACTGGAGATGTAAATTGAGAGGTTTTTACCTATTCTTATTAATGAACGTGTTTGACAATCTAGTCAACATTAGTTGCTTACGAAGAGCACACATTCTGTCCTAACCTAAATAAAGCTAACTGAGCGACGCTTGCGATTTGACGCATATTAGTTAGAATCCTACCTCCCCCCTTCCTGCTGTTAAAATACCCGGCTATTCGTCAGAAATATCTTATCTGGTGTAAGTTGGAGCCAAACACGACGTCTTTGAAGGTTTGACGTTCATAATTGGGGTTGAGTATCTTCAATATTTGTAAATAATTTCCCATAGTCTCTATTTAGTTATTAATTATGGAAGAATAAAGTTTCGTTAATAATGATATCACGTAATCGGTGTGTGTGTATGGGAGTGACTATTTATTCAAAATGACGAATAAGTATGCAACAGTTTTATTGTTAATTATAACAGTTACAAGCCCAAATAGCAAATGGGCAGTTAAAACCACTATTTTTTAAAACTAGAATTTAAAACAGAAAATAAAAACCACAACCACAAACCAACAAAGTCTAATACATAACAAAACATATAAATAACTAATTATTATCCAATTATTCGCTCTTTGACAGATGACAGGTATGATACGATCCTCTTGAAATCGTGCTTACGATCGACTTAGCTCAGGTCTGTAACTATAACTTAGGTCAAAAAATCGCCAGTTCTTAAGCAACTATTAGTTTGAGGGTTGTAGAAAAAACAACTCTTCTTTAGTGTACGTGTTGTTCTGTACCTATCGATAATTTTATTCCGATATTTTAGAGTATCGATACTTCCTAAAACGACAAGATTCGATACATATCGGTACTTTTCGTAGATCGAATCATCCGTAATCTTGACGGTTTGTCGTTCTTGTCAACTGGGCTGCGGGGTGCGGTGCTGCCTGTACTATTCGACATTTTGCTAAAATCTTATGAAAAATAGAAGCTTCAAATGAAATATTGACTTGTATGAATGGATGTGCATAGAATCTAGAACATAAATTCATACTGTAGGCTTCAGATTGTCTTGAACCGGATTTTTCCGTATTTTTACCGAATTGAGAATATTTACCGAAAACGCTATTTTCCACGGTTTTTCAAAGTAACTAAAGTATTTCCATACTTGTTGAAAAACAGCTGGAACCAAAAATAGCTTCCAGAATGGTTGAAGTACTATGGAAGAGCGACCAGTATGCACATTGTATAAGTTGTAATATAGAACTATGCCCTCATGAAACATGTTGTGTGTGCGCTCAATACAATAATAAACGTTTTTCATAGAGTAAAAGGTCCTTGATCCACCACTGATCTTGGGATGGCATTTTTCATTAGACCGAATTCAACGACACTGTTTACCGATTCAATTTTTTTCTGGTTCGGCGACACTGCAGATCACTTCAAAAGCAATTGATATCCCGGACGTGTTATAATAATAGTAAAAATAAGAGAGTATTACCAGCTTTGCAGATATGCAGGGTGGCGCATCGAAAACGAAACAGACGCATTTACTGGCAGCTCAGTTTTTTTTTTTTGAAAAACGCTCAGACACGTCGACTTTGTTTTCGAGGGGGACACAAGTTTGAAAAAAAATCACGTTAGCACGTGCAGCCCCCTAAGCGGGGGTGACACCACCCCAAAATCTTAAATGGAAAGGGGGGGTCGAGTGATACCCTATTTTAAAGGTCTTTCAATTCCCTTTATAAAGATATAAAATTAATGTACTTCAGTTCAGCAGTTTTGAAGATTTTGAAGACTAATACATCATCATTAGTGGAGATCAATACATTTGACAGCAAAGTAATTTAAAAATGAAGTATGAACTGACCCGTTAGGCAAGTAAATATTGAAAATGGCCACCATGACTCTTCATGCAATAATAAAGATTTTGCTCAAAACGTTGCCACACATTTTGCAATATTTGAGGAGTAATTTGAAGACACTCATTCACAATCCTTTGTCGCAGGTCTTCTAATGATGTGATAAGGTGATAAATCTGGCGATCTTGGGGGCCATTCAATGGCACCTCTTCTACCAACTCATCGATCTGGAAACGTCTGATCTAAATATTGTCGAACACGTAATGCGTAATGTGGTGGGGCACCATCCTGTTGGAACATCAACCTATTCGCAATGTACCGCCGATCATTCTGATTTTCAATTATGGCTGTTTATGCAGGATCTATGGCATCTTCCAGTTATTCCAAATACATTTCACCGGTCAAATTTCCAGGTAAGAAAAAAGGACGAACTAAATGATCGCCACAAGTACCAGCCCAAACATTTAATTTTTGTGGCTGCTGCGTATGAACCTCATGATAAATTCTGGGACCAGAATCGGACCGAAATCGGCAGTTATGACGATTTACTACGCGATTTAAGAAAAAGGAACATTCGTCAGAAAAGCAAGTGTTAGATAGAAAGTGTTCATCGATTATAATTCGTTCACTCATATCTTCACAAAATTGTAATCGCCGATCAAAATCGTCTTCATTAAGTTCTTGTACCAGGTGAATTTTATACGGATGAAAACTAAGGGCCTTTAGAATCTGTTGGACATTAGATCGAGTAACACCACACATAGTCTCCATTTTGCGGGTACTTAACTTAGGATCTACATGAACTTGCCCTAAAACCCCCACCTCTATTGCTTCGTTCCTTATGGGATTTTCAATGTTGCGTTTTTTTATTGGCGACTGACCCAGTTTCCCGAAATTTAGCTACAAGTTCTAGAAAATATTTTCGATGCACGTTACTGTTCTCATGTCGCTCATTAAATATTTCTGCTGTTATATGTATTAGCGCTCTGGAATATACCATGGTTAATTTATGTAATAAAGCGTTACAAGTTATTTTAGCAACAAGGTGTGGTCAAATCAATCGCAAACTATGTACTAAATTCCTATTTAAAATAAGTACGAGATATTTCCTTATCTTTGTTCAAGAAATAACTTTTTGCCACAAAAAAACGCTCCAATAGCTATTTTCAACAACAAAACGATAAACAAACCATGGGCGTAGTGAAGAAACGCATTTACTTATTAAGTAAATTCTTTTAGTCAAATTTCTTTTGAAAGTAGTACAAACTAATCTAATGTACCTACTAAAGTCTATTTTAAGCTTTAAATCAATAAATCTTCAAAACTACTGAACTGAAGCTCATGTATTTTACGTCATTATAAAGAGAATTGGAATACCTTTAAAATAAGGTATCACTCGACCCCCCGTTCCATTTAAGATTTCAGGGTTGGTGTCACATTTTTTTGACAAACTTGTGTCCCCCTCGAAAACAAAATCGACGGGTCTGAGCGTTTTTCCAAAAA